TCAACCTAAATATAAAGAAAATACCCTTGATTGTTATTCAATCAACCCGTTGGTTTTTTTTTAAAAAATTCATGGTTCTTTCAATTAATCTAAAGTTTTATAATAATATCACCGTCCCTGCACCACCTAATAATCTTAATCACTGTTGCAAGTGTAAATAACACTGAATTTAGCGGTAATATGGTTTCCATCTAGGCTGACTAGTTGACGATTGAAGGAACTGTTGATAGTGGCAACGTGGTGTCCTAGTTTACACTATTGACGCAAACCAGAAATTTGATGTTACACTTTTTTACGATCAAATGGATAATTTTAATTTTCCAATTATTAATTATCCCACGCCGAAAGATGTTAACGGGAGAGATATTGAAATGGTTTTGCTTCCAGAATATCTCAGAAACGTTTGTACACACGCCTACATATTACGCTAATATACTAACTAGAAGTTTTGTGGTTAAATAATATTCATGAAACAATTTGATTTAACTTTTTTGTGCTAAGGCGCATTTTCATATGCAGCAATATATCACTAAGCTACTACTTATCAGTTGAGTACTATTAACACAGATTTATCATTGACTATTTGTATGATTTTATAGTATCCTTATTCCGTCCATGACATCAGATACTACATAAGTATTGGGTATTATTATTATTTTAACAATTTCTAATTTTAAAAAAGATATTATTATTTGGAGTTTTCTTTATTTTGATGGACCTTTTTTGTCTCTGATTACCGCACGGTATTGGTAAGTTAAAACTTTCTTATTTTTGTCTTCCAGGAACCTGCGTTACAGCGCGGTCTTGAATACCTTGACGGAAAGCTTAACCGTGTACGACAAGAGTTTAATCTTCATTAACCTTTTAAAATGAATTGCATATGTAAAACATTAAAGATAGGAATATGATTTCTAAGTACGTGTATGTATCTACATATATATTTCATGAGTGGATTAAAGGGTTCCTGTTTCATAGCAACATTCCAATTACACTTCTACCAAGAAGTCTTGTAATCAATATAAAAAGATGTTCAACCATTCTCAATTGTTTATCTTGTAATCAAAAGTGTATCTTTCCATATATGTATACCACTCTGATGTAATTAGGCAAATCAGCAGAAATTTGTAGACATGACAGAATGGGAACAGTGGAAACTAAAGTTGATTATCTACACGACATGGTTAACTGTTTATGGATGACGGAAACTGGCTGGAGTATATACAATATGTACTGTGTAATGTTTCCTCAGGTCGCCGTGTCTCTTAAGATTCTTGGAATTAACGTTCCATTTTCCGAACCAAATGGGTTAATGAAGATGGACATACGCCGAAAATCCCGGATTAGAGTTTTTCTTATTCTTAATCGAATTTAAACTGTCAGTAGTCAACGTGAAACGGGATCCTCTGGTTTTGGTACTGTCCGAATGACTATACGTTGCTGCTTGACAGACTCCCTGTCCATGATCACTTACAAGGGAACAATTATGATGTAAGACTCCCGTATGCAAATAAAATATAAGTAGTAATCTATATTAAACAAGCACTCTGAGAATATTTCAGAATGAAAAAAGCATTTATAAAAGACCGATACTGCGAATACAATTTTTATATATCATAATCCGAACGGAATACATTTCTATATCATAATCCTATTGGAATATAATCTGTAGCATTGGTCTTTAATTCTGACATGTAACAGCAGTGTACCAAATTTCAACCAGACACCGATGCGTCAGAGATGGGCCATCATTTAGTCAAAAGTAAATGGAATCCGACGAAACGCGAATATATATCAGTATACCAACCTTCAGTCAAATACCTCAAAGTTCTACCTGCTGAACAATGGAGTCACACGAAACGCATACTTAATCTGTAACTCTGCCGTACCAAATTTCAAATACCCCAAAGTTTATTTTTTTAAATCCGGAAAACAACAATGAAAGACTGACATTTACAAAATATAAATATTAAGAATAATCAATAAGGAAATAAATGAAAGCAGTGGAGGAAGCGTCCTAATTTTCCACACCATCCGGGATAATAAAGTCGAATATATACCATTCAGTATGTTTTGTGAGAAAGTTTGGTCAGACGGCAGGGTTCTTTTACATGCATATGGGATCCTTTTCCTTGCTAGTCCCTCCGACCTGCGCCTCTGACAACGGGAACCCACACTGGAAAATCACGCGGTATTCGCCGGGCCTTACTGAGCCAATATCAATAAGGATGACATAGATTCGGCTGTAGGGTATAATACACAAACCGATTATGGACTATCACGTGTTGTTTTTTATGGTCAATGACAAAAACTCAACAATAATGTATAAGCAACGCGAACTGGAATGGGAAGTGACATCAGGTGTTATAGAAAGTATATTTGTAGATGAATACAAATAGCCATATTTATAATGAATCATTGAGTTGACACCAGATGTTCCTGGTATAGTTTGCATATTGTAGATGAATAGGAATAAGTTGACGCATGCATTCCAACAAATATTCACTTCGGAAAAGATTTCCATCTGTAGAATCGCTCAGCCAGTTGCTTTATTAGCTACGTGTATTAAAACAAATATAATATCAAATATGGCCGATGCAAAGATCTTGTTACACTTTTAGACCCATCGAAAATATTTACAATCGATCTCAGAAAACGGTAGTATTTTTTAGCTTAGTTACATACAGTTGTCTGACTTTTATATCACAATATAACAGAATATTAAATATACGGCCACAGGTGGGTGATAGCCGGGGTTTCGTAGATATTTCTTTTATATCAAATATGGCTGACCCTAGATGTGAACAACGAAAAGTCCTATTCCCAGTTGTCATGTTCGATAATTACTTTAGACGGTTTATAAACTATTACCATTCAGAGTGTTAAATATTTATGAAGCCATGTTTACCGACAGAAAGACACGATGGTAGCCGAAAAATTAAATTACATCTTCTTCAGAGGATGGGATAATTTCTCGGGGGACTCGCTAAAGGTTTCCATCAAACATAAGCCAGGTCGTCTGCGAGGTACAGTACAGACGAATCTACAGTTAATTATACAAAAGGGTCAACATTTAATTTACTATAAATATAAACCAGAATATTACCTGGAATATATTCCTTCAACAATCATTGTCTAGTCGTCTATGTGACTTCATTTCAAATATTGGCATAGATTTGACAGAAAAGAGGCATTGCTAAATTCTTTATTAAATCAAAATGTCAGCAAATAGTTTTTGTTATGTCTACGTTTCAAAGTGTTGATTAAAATGGCGTGTTGGAGTCATTCTTTAAGCAAGACGTCGTTGTTATTTTACCCTTCTTTTAAAATTTCGGAAAATATATAATCTAAGTAGTATTATGCTGGATATATTATATTTTTATGTTTAGTACATTACAAAATGGTTCATTATGGATTTGCTTGCTAATGAAGTCGAAGTTTAGCAAGCTGGCATAGAACGTATTCCGTGTCGTTCGGATGAGACGCAAAACGGAAACGCAACCGTGTGAGCATTGCCCTGTACGTAAAATAACTTTTAAAATTAACCACCGTAGAATTTTTTCGAGGCAATATGAAAAGAACTGAATAAGTTTGAACATCAGAGAGGTGTCATAATTCACTATTTTATTAGATCTAGGCTTGTGTCTTATATAAAGGCTGTGAGTAACAGAAAAAATCTTTTTAATGCTATCTGCTGTTTGTTTACAATTGAAAAAGTATAAAATGCAATATTTTCACACAATATATTTCTTAACGATCCCGGGTACACGGTCCACCTATTTCTTATGCATGACATGTATCTAATTTGAAAATAACAATTTCTTTTCTGTTATACGTTTATTTAATAAATCAACTTGCGTTGAAAACCTTAAAAATATATTATGCGGTTTTATGATAGAATAAAACTAGGAAGGTAATGGCCGTTTATGTCTGTCTTAAATTAATTTATAATAAGGTTAATGGTAATAAATCTATCTTTTCCAGCTGGTCAACAAGTTTTATTTTCTTGGATCTTCTATATACTACCAGTTGCGACTCGAAAGCAGACCCGTTTTGCACATTTGTTTTAGATACATTGAGAATGTAAATGGAAGATTACTGAAGTTTAAATGGTGTGAAATATCATTATGGCCCAATTATTTTGCACATGGCGCTAATAGAATTTATGGAAAAAACTAGCAATTTCATCTTTGACTGTGTCCAACCCGGAGGTCGAAGTCTCGAACTTCACGCAATATTATAAAAACAGTTCAAGTCCTAGGAATTTATATAACCTTAGTTTCAATTAGTTGTCGAATACATTAACAAGGACGATGTTCGACCTTTGCTTCTGGCAACGATACTTGACTAGTCTGTATAATAATTCCCTGATCATTTCCATTATTACATCACTATATTATTGACCATTGTCCATCTGGTCACCAAACATTGTTATAGGAGCTGTAATAATTACGACCATTGTTTCTAATTATATAAGTTCTCTCTTGAGATGGTACCATTAGAATTTATAATTCCATCATGATTCACTTTAAACTTTGCTTGAAAACATGGCGCCATGTTGGTGTTGAGCATGCTTTTAAAATTGTTTTACTTTTAAAACCATGGAAAATGTAAACAGTTGAACTAGTGGCTGTGCAGTTTTCTATAACCAATGATCCATTATAGCTTCAATGGATCCTACAATAGAAACAACTTTTATATAGGCACAATTAAAACCCGTTATTTAGAAACACGGCGTTGTCAGGCAATGGTTATGCTCACACCAGCACTACCTAAAATAAGTTTTTAGGTCAAGGGCAAATACCACGAATAAAATTGATGAACAACTCTGCAATTTGATAGGATGTCATTTTACGACTAGCAGAATATTTCCAGCAGCTCAGGCTAAAAAATATCAAATAACTTCTGAATTGTTATAGGGTTGTACAATCCCATGTATGTTTGAAACATACAATCCTCGAAATTGTGGGCAGTACAACGTTTACAATCTTTAAGTGACGTGAGTAAGTAATGTGCATTGGACTGTTGTGCGATTCAATAGGATTCCTACAAAACTACCCTACAAAGTCTGATCTGTTGAGCGCTTACCACATTTCAATGACAGTACAGGGCAGTGTCTATGTGATAAAATCGCGGCGGGACTCTGGATTTCTACAGGGCACCTCCTTATGGCTAACCTAACAATCCAGGCAAGTCGAAAAAACCTGCAAAATTCCGGACCGGCAGTAAGGGATTGACGACAATGAACAAAAGGTTTATAGTTAACTTACTATGATATACCAATTTTGATCAAATAAATCAAAATGTACATTTCTTAGAAACATATGACGCAATAAAAACCGACAATTGCAAGAGGTCTCGCCACATAAAAAAATAATAAACTAGATAATCGCATGCCCTATGTAAAAGTAAATGTATTGAAATGTGGGTTTAATGTCCCACTTTCCTGCTCCATCCGTCCTAATAAAGACGGACATACGCCATATTTCGAATTCCAACATGTACACGGGATTTCGGCTTTTAGTCCAATCCAAACGACAAGACACTGTTGCTTAAACAGCCCTCTGTCCTGCACCACAAGTGGAAACCACGGCGTAGTATTCCGAATTTCTCTCATTAATTTCTCAATCTCATTTTTAAGGACACAATACTCGTGTTTTCATAACCTAAACTAGAATTATTTTTAACGACGCAATACTCGGTTTTTTTTTATAGCCTAAACTAGAATTTGTTTCCAGTGTACAAACATGGTTGCGTGATAGAGATGGAAGAATATCGTGTGAATTTCCTGTTTGCATATTACGTTTATGACGTTTTATAATCGCTTTTAAAGACATGCTATTCTGGCTCATATCTGGTCGACCTAAAATAAAAATAAAACATAAGCTACTTGAACTTTATTTGTGAAATATGTCGCTTTTATGATTTCAAATAGCATGTCCTTCCCAGTAATAGGTACCCGGTACTACTTCAAATAGTCAATTATGTTATTTAAAAAAAAGTCGAATTTTATGATACAGTTTTATGATTCTTACTTAAACATTCGTTTCTAAATGTTTTAATGATTTCACTAACATCTTTTGAAAGGCTCAATTCCAAAACAAATAGACATGTTTGGCTTAACATAATGATCTCTATATAATTTGACTAAAAAAAGCCAACAAATTTTGAATTTTCGATAACTTTACCAAATTATATCACTTGGCATTTGTTATAGCTAAAGTTGTTCTGATCAGTTTAGTTTTGAAAATCATGGACTTTATTTTCAAACAATGAGAATATTGGTTATAGCCACTTCTTACTCTTGAATCTTTACATGTATAATGTTAAACCCCATTTCATTTTATTTCATTTCTTATATAACGTGATGCCTGCATTTGCATTCAGAAAAAAATCACAATGTTATTGTTATTCCCATCCAAATAATCCCATTATACTTGCATGAAATAATGTGCACTTTTAATCTACACATGTCGCTGTTCGCCAACTGTAAAATGTTACAAATGAACATGGAATATACATCATGCATGGACCTTCTTTTAATAACATTGAAGAAAAGATATATGTAAATCAAAACGTCTGCGCGAGTCCCGGAATTTAATTAATTAAAAACAAAAAAGTCAATGAAATGATTAGGACGATATAAATCACAACGTGACCCTTCACTATAGAAGATCTCATACCATACCGGATCCGAGTTCTCCCCCTAATTTCTTGTACGAAGTGAAACGATTGCTACCGATATATAGCGCTATGACGTTCTGATAATTAAAGAAAATCAATCCGCATCTCCGACACCAAACATTTCTTTGTAGAAAACAAGAAATAAAGCAGAACAGATAGGCAAGTAATTTAAGACCGGTGGTCAGGTTTCTTATAATGAAGGTCGTGACTTGTTATTTCATATTACTTCTATTAATCATTTAGCTACTGAAAATTTGAAAATTAGCTAGCCGACTAGGGCCGAACACCAGTGACAGATCGACTAATCAACGAATGATACATATATAAGTCAAGCAAGCCAACGTATATTCATAAACCTTTAAATATCATATTGAATAGCTGTAAGATTTGACAAGATTTCAGCTGAACTTGGCATCTTCTCTGCTCTTGTCGATAATCACATGTACTGATGTATTGAATTTAGCCATTTGTAATCGACGTCGTACTATCACCGTCCCCTTCGCTGCCCCGTCGGTCAATAGGCGGCAGCAGTCACACAGAAGCCAGTACCATAAGGCTATTCGATATTTTGTTTCCGCGTCTCACAGAAACTCATGTTGGCTGTTGTACAAGCTGGACTAGGGATTACACGTTTTCAACTATTTCAGTGTTTGTGGTGTGGCATGACACTGATGCGTTATGTGAAACTTCTATGATTATCAACTTTAAGAGTCGGCGAGATCTTCAAGATACAAAACAATGAAAAAGGAATGATTGAGTGATTTACGGACTTTCAGGAAAAGATGGAAACGCTTGCCTTATTTTTAGACTTTTTACTTTCCATGTCATTTGTGAAAATCGTCGGTAAGTACCATTTATTTTCGTTTACATAAAAGAACAATTGAGTATTTGTATTTATGTTGTTAGTGGACCTCGCAAAAAAGTTTGCCGGCTACTTGAGATATTATCGATCGGGTCAAATTCGGTAAATTAAGCACTTAACGTGATTAGTAATTAACTAGATTAAAATGATTAACTTCATCTGGACAAGCATAATTAACGTGTTTTATGGTCAACCACCTTGAACTGCAAGATGTACATGATACAACTGATTGGTAACTTTTGGTCGTCCCGTGTTTTACACTACTTTATATAAAATTCTATAAATGAATTTTATATGAGCAAGTTCAGTTTACGATAAATTGTGTCTTTGGTTCTTTTATTCAATGGCCACACAAGTTCCAATTAAATGATAATATCTCCAAAATTCAAATGACTCTCGGTTTTCCTTGAACACAAAGACGAAGTAGTTCTGCGTTCTGTTTCTTTGATGAATTAGCAAAGAATGTGTTGCAAGTTAGCTCTTCAGTGAAACAAAATAAATTTTTCGTTTTCCACAAACAACGAATAAACATAACCTGGGCATGTAGTTATATATGTGTATACCTGAATTAATTAAAAATTCCTTTTTATGGTTTCTCTATGATATATGGACATTGAAGTGGTGTTTTTTTTATTGTTTTATTGGCGCTTTCAAATTCGAATATTGTCTTCTGCCATTCATATGTATACATGCATCTTGTTCTTACGATTTAATATCTCAATGAATTCGACTTAACCACAGAAAGGAACAGATTATCATATTTCTTGATTTCTATTGAAAAATAAACCCTATCGCTTGATTTATTTTAGAACAAGAACTAGTTCATCTTTGTCTTATGAGCTTCCGTTGGTCATTTTGAGCGGGAAAACGAATGTACCTAAACGCCTGTAGGTACATTCTTTTACCGCACAAAAACATATAATTGAATAAACTTGAAATCATAGCCTTTTTAATGATCTCTCCATGCTTGATTACAATTGACTTTACATATTTGAAAAGTCTACCACCTATTAGATATTTATCTTAAACACGAATAAAACGTCAATATTTTAATTGTTTGCTATCTTGAAGTGGCAGTTCTCAAAATAGATAATTACAGGTCATGAAAATAAATTATTAGTAATTTATAAAACACAAGGCACAAGAAACATAAAATCAATGTCAGAATACAAAGATAGAACAAAACAACTACCTGCAAAATAACTTATGACATGTCTTTAAAGTAAGACCATGATAAATCATTCTACTAGCTGATATTAAATAAGTATTTCAAAGAGTTTTTTATCCGAAAAAAGCACACAAAATCTATATGTAAATAGTAATCAGAAGTGGTTTTAAGGGGTTTTTTTTCTGGGAGGATAGAGCCCATTAAAATAATTGGATCTGATGTCTGATGTATTGGTTCATTTAGGGATGCGCCTGTACCTGTGTTTACATTTTAAATATTTTGACCTTAAATGAAAGTTTTTGTAGTAGAGAATGCGGTGAAAACTGTTCAGTAAAAGTAGATAAAGTATAAATATCAACCATTCGTAATTAAGATGGACAGAAAGGCGAACATAGACCAACTATCCATCAACATTACGAAAAAGCAGATCTAGTAAGTTTTAAAAATGTAGAGCTCTGTGCACAATCCTCGAATCAAACGTCATATCAGGCATTCTGTATTGAGGTGTCATACACTAAATTGTTTCAGTAGCATTTATTATTTGAACAGGAAATATACAGGACACAATTCTGTTGAATTATGTAAATAATGTCTCATCAGAATTTACATTTTATCAATGTTTGATAAAAACCGGATAAGGCTAGTCGAAACGTCACTCAGTTGTATTCCATAGATGGCGGGGTGGGGGTGTACGCTGGCTAAGTGGGTAAAACGCTGGCTCGCTAGCCTGGAGGGTTGCTTGTTCGATCATTGGCCGAGAAAGTTCATCGGGATTTTCCGACTTGGTTTCCCCTTGTCGGTGGTGCAGGAAGGTCTGACAAGGACAGCTTGCTAGTCGTTCGGATGAGACGAAAATCGAGGTCCCGTGTATGGATTGGCGTGCACGTAAAAGATACCTTGGCAGTTGGAATTCGATATAAGGCCATAGTACCACTGTCTCGGCAAAATTTCCCTCATAGAACACTGTATGGCATATGGCCGTCTTCATTAGCCCAGTCGGAACAGAACAGCGTAGGACATTAAACCCGATTTCATTTCTTTTCATTTTCATATTCCATAGAAGTATGTCTTATGTATAGACTGTTATTTGTATTCTATAGAAGTGTGTATTATGTATACACTGTAATTGTATTCTATAGAAGTGTGTTTTGTGTATAGGTATACACTGTCTCATGAACTTCAGAAACCAAAGTCTGGTAGTATCACAGCAACCTGAAGGTCAAGGTCGCAGAAAAAGTGAACAGTCTAACATATATCTTAAATGCAAACATGCAGCAAAAGTTTGTTAGCTATGTAAACTCAAACGAGAAGTAAACAGGCGATACTGACTGTTGCATGTGTAAAAGTCAAACAGGCGCGGATCCAGAGGGGTTGGGGCGCCCAGGCGTACGCCCCCCCCCCCCTATTTTTGCGGTGGCGAAAATTTTTTTTACCCCATATATTCTCGCGGGAAAGGAATTAACAGTCAGTTTAGGATGGAAATCGTAATTTACTCCGACACGAGTCGGTCGTGACTTGGTCAGCCCCCCCCCCCCTTTCTGAAAATCCAGAATCCGCCCCTGTCAAATGGAATAACAATTTCTTTAAAAAAAAACTATTATACTAGTATGGTTCAACTAACAATGAAACAGTCAGAAACTGGGAGTGAAATCTTTTCTCCTATCGTAATACATGTGTGTACACCATCCATACAAACTAATCACCAACAACTTAAAACAGGATCTAAGCTTTAATCATTTAAAAAAGGAAGAGGAAGTAATATCGTCTTGGGGGAAAAATCGTTTGGTCATAAAATTGCTCTGACATTGTATGACAATCAAACAATATAGAAATTGCACAAATAAAACAACATCAAAGCATCTGAATGTTAAATCATAAGAACATCTCCTTTAACAAAGAAAAACAGTACAAACCATTTACACAAAAAGACAATAAATTTTTTTAAAGTCATGCATATTGATTAAAATCAGGAGTAAAGTACTGTGGAATCTCCAGTCGCTCTAAATAGCCACGTGAACCAAATGCGAATGTAATGGCGGCTTTCAGATATTACCGAATGCTTCACTACAGGAAGTAACGTAAATGCAAATATACCAACATGAATGGGATTAAGTGCAATCAACTCAAGTTAGTCATAGCATACAAAAACTATTCTGCCGAATTTCATATAGGCCATGCCTTTGTCTTATATCAACGCATTAAATGACTTGGGATTTATTCCTTGTCTTAATTAAGGGTCATTATGCAGTGACTATCTTAATAAATTTACAATAGGACTCTAACCAAAAATTATTATATAAGTTAATATTCCTGATGCTGTACACAAAGGGTTAATCTATTCGGCAACACAATAGACGGAATGTAGTTGTATATTTTTAACCCTAGCATTCCCTCGGCGCATTCTCTGTCTAATAGTTGTGTGATTAAGAAATGGATTCCTGCTCTTGGGCTTTCAAAATACAAATGTGGTATAAATATTCACAACCCAAGAGCAACAGGCAAACAACCATTAAACAAAGATTAGACTACTGCCCAGAACATGAAACGAAATATAAATCGAGACAAAAATAAAACGAATTCCAGATTCTGTGTCTGTTCTAGCGTAGAGAGTTTGTATAAGACGGCAACCATGATCTTCTAAATGACATTAAGCTTGGGATCAGGAACTCATATAGGATTTTCACCTTCTTCCGTGATTTAACTTTCTTTGATATTTGGCGATAACTCTAAGTTGATTAATGTCGGTCACCGTCGCGATGATGACGAAACAATACGGAGAACCGTACTGAAAGACAAGAATTGAACACGATATTTTACTTTGTTGTAATTCTTCTACACGTCCAGATGATCGGATTAGCTCCTCTTTCCTGTCTTTTAATTTGAGGACACACATTCTATATTAGTTAAATATTGAATTAGAGGACTGAAAATTCTAAAGATATCGGCAATATCGTTCAAGCGAAAGCATATGTGTCGAAAAATAAATTCTTGATTTTGTCAAGTTTAGATAAGAACTTATTTCATGGATAAATAAAGAAGCTCTAAAAGTTTACGAATTTAATAATACACTGTATGGTCATCACAAATTCAAAGAGCTATAAATAATTTAAAAAGCGAAATTCTAAATGATTCACATTTGTCTGAGTTAAAATTTGTAATTGCTTTATAATACCGCAGCATCTTTAATCTTGAAAAAGGTGAAATGGGGTTTAACGTTATAATCTCTGCATCATTTCGAATTCCAACTGTCACGGGTTCGTTTACATGCACGCCAATGTCTACACGGGACCTTGGTTTTTTTTTTATCTCATCCCAACGACTATACATTGTCACTTGAAAATCAAGAAAGACCTTTCTCGGCTGTCAGTTGGAATTCGATTAAGAGTACGCCAAGTTAGTGCAGAAATATGGGACTTTGTAAAACCATTTCATTTCGACAGATACTCTCAGATATTCACAATAAGTAATTAGTAATTACAAGTATGTCAGAATCATTTACCCAAGGCTCTGAAAACGGTTACGTGTCTACCGATTTCACAGAATCAGGCGATAGTACACTCACGTTGAGGACATTGCTGTCTTTCATACCAACAATTGAGTTTAAAATGTTTCGTTTGATAATTTTCGAGCTGAAAATCAGACAGTACTTGAACCAGGGCATGATATATTGCGTGACAAACTGAATCTTCAAATAATAAACGGGATGGATATTTAGGAACCACGTGGTTGTGTGTTCTGGTAGGGGGTGATACGATATGTCTCGCTTTTCGCATGTAAAATAGTCGCAAGTTGGTAAAATCAATACGCGTGTGG